GGGGTTCTAGGAGGTCAGAATATGTGGCCTCCTTGCCGTTTTTGCAGGCCCCAAGACTATATTCTGGGCCTGGAATTGAACTCACTTCCATGGCTTAACTTCCAACCAAATAGACAAAACTGTGAGGTGGACATTTACGCCAGGTAGATACCCTCCTTAGAACAGTCAACCATGGGGGGCAGCACTGGTATAGGGAGATAACTCAGAAGGCTGGAATCCATGGGAGAGAAGAACACAGGGAAAAGGTAACCACAAGGAGGAAGTGGGAGTAGAGCTGTTATACTGTGGGGATTGCTATCAGTGCCATGGAACAAAAGCGGGTGAACTGTTGAATGGAAAATGAATTTGCTTTGTAAACTTTTACCCCAAATCACAAAAAAAGAAAAAAAGCAACCTTTTCTTTTTTGCTGGCTTAAGCTGGTTGGGAGGAGGATGAAATAGAATCTCTGTCAGCTTAGCCCAGAGGCTGACTCCAAGTAAGTGTTCCGTGTTTGGTGGTGGTGATGCCTAGCCCAGGGAGGTGAGCAGGAAACATGCCTTCAGCTCGGTATCATCCTAGACTCCCACTCTGTCTGGTACTGTATTTCTTAAATTGTAGGACATTCTCCCCTCACACTTTGCCCCCTCCAACTGTGATTTGGGTGAAGGGTTACAGAGCAAGTTCATTTTCCATATGGCAGTTCATACACATTTTTTAAATCATATTGACTGCAGTCCCCATAATGTAATATCTCTTTTCCCACTTCCTCCCGGTGGTTACCTTTTCCCTGTGTTCTTCTTTCCTGTGCATTCCTGACCTCCCTGTACAAATGCTGCCCTTCTGACCTCCCATGATTGATTGTTCTAAGGAGTGTACCCATCTGGTGTAAATGTTCACCTTATACACTTGTCTCTTGTTTGGCTGGAAGCTATGGGAGTTCAATTCCAGGCCCAAAGGGTGACCTCACCCTAGGACCATGGTCTCGGCAGTTTTACCAGTTTCTGTCAGACCAGTAAGCCTGGTCTTTTATGATTTTGAGTTGAGTTCCACATTTTTCTCCCACTCTATCCACGATCTCTTGCACTGGTCCATTTCCAAGTGGCTGATGGTGGTAGCTGGGCATCATCTGGTTCTGGTCTCAGGGTCCTGTAGGCTGAGGTCTGCATGATCCACCAGTCCTTGGACGAATTGTTTCCATGTGTCTTTGGTTTTCTTTATCCTCACACCCCCTTTTAACAGATCTTGAAAAGGGTTGTGTCTCACAACTGATAGGGATAGTTAATATAGGTTCCTCTTGAAGAGCTGTTACTAAATAATCAGTATCTTTTTTAGTAACAAAGTGACTGCTTATGTATGACTTTGAAGTTTGTCCACCCTCTAAGGACACCTCATGAATGGGTTTTTCTGGGCAGGTAGTTTCTGACTGACATTGTCATATAAGTTATATGACACTATAAGGACTTAAAAGGAGACACTAGTGTCTGTTTAAACTTTGAGGCTGAAAGCAAGGAGGAGCCCAGGCTTCTCACAGCACACTCCTTGGGCCACTGTTGGCGGTGAAGTGCTGGGTTGAGAGTGTAGTCTCCTGACCCAGTGGGGCCATTTCCTCTGTCGTGACAAGTGTTCCTAGGATGGCCAACCCTTTTAGAAGGAAGGTCTTATTGGGTGGTAGTCTGGGAGTTTAGGAGCCCAGATAACCTACTGGGCCATCTATGGCAGTGATTAAGGCCACTTTGATGGCAAGTAACAAAAACTAAAGTCAGACACTTCAGGCTGCAAAGGTGTCTCTGGAACTTCAGTGCAGAAGGTGTGGCTGGTCCTGAGGAAGGGGAGGGACCAGAGTCTAGAAGGCTTGGGGGGCTAGCCTCATCTCCCAGCTCTGCTGTTCTCATGCATCCTCTTGAGAGGATGTCTCTGCAGACAGGCTTTCTCTGAATGCTTCTGCCCACATTGTGGAGCCTGGCCGGTCTTCAGTCCTCTGGTTTACATGTTTTGGTTATAGGCATGTACAGACTAACTCGGTGAAACTTTGTCTCAGTTATGAATTTCCTTGAGAGAATGTGATTGACCCAGCCTGAGTTAGTGTCCACTTCCATCCAGTCAGTAGCCACTGTCTAGGTAGGAATCCCCAGTAAACCATAGCTGCTGGGACCCCGCCTGTGGCTTGGATAGGCGTTTGTCCTGAGAAAGGGGCCTTCCTGGGGTAGGCAGGTTCTCCAGAAGGTATACCTTCTTGGGCTTCAATGTCCTTCATCAGTAAGACGCAGGGTTAGACAGCCTCTTCCGGTTCTGGAGTTCCCCATCTATGCAGGTTCTCTTCGAGCAGAAAAGTGGGCTTCAGGCTGTGGAGGATCCAGCCCCTTAACTCTGGACCCCCAGGCTTCCGCTGTAGTCTCTGCTCCCTGAGTGCTGTCACCTTCCTGCTCCCTGAAGGCCGTCAGCTGTCTCCCACAGTGCTCTGTCCGCGTCGCTCCCCTGCTTAAAGCCTTCTGGGGGTTAAGCTGGAGAAATCCTAGCTCTGCATCTGGGCCTGCGGGTTCTCGTGGCCTGGGCCTTGCCCGCAGTGCCCTTTCTCCTTACCTGTATGTCTGGACACACTGCTGGCTATCTTGTCCCCAAACATGTCGACCTTTTTCACTGCAAGGTTTTGATGAGCTCTTCCCACCTCTGCCCAGGACACTTTCCTGGACCTCTCCTTTTGGCTGTCTCCTCCTTGGCCTTCACATCCCAACTCAAATGCTGGCACCCCAGGGAGTCCTCCCTTGCTGGCCCTGCAGTTAGCCACCCTAGCCGCTCTCACCCTCCTGTAACTCTGGACTGCTTTTAGCTTGATTTGTGTTTGATTTTTTTTTTTTTGTTTATTTAATGTCTACCCCCATCCCTATTCCCATGTAAGCTCCTTGGGCACAGGAATCTTGCCTCTTTTGTTTGCTGCTGTATCCTAAGTAACCAGAACAGAGCCTGGTAAGTCGATACTCAATGAATACGTTTTTGCAGAAATGAACATCTACTCTGTACCAAATACCATGCTAGCAGCTGAGGATCCAAGGATTGAACACATGGGGTTCCTGCGCTGGGGGAACTCAGCTCAACGGTGGGATGGACTAGCAGAGAGAGAGTTAGAGCAGTGCCTGAAGGTGAGGATGGGGTGCAAGTGCTGAGTACACCACATTCTGAAGAGAGCTGCCCCTGTGTGGGGCTGGCCACCTTCTCTCACACTCACCAGGAGATGGCTGGACTGGCTCTCCTAACGGGCCATCACCCCCAGCCCCTCCTCCCCCCAAGCCTGAGTGAGCCAGAGGCAGGGAGAGAGCCATTAAGTCCAGGGACTTGTCATTGCCCTGTGAGTACGGGTGCTAGGGTGCTAGAGGAGTGGCCAAGTGAGGAGAGCCTCTCTTATCAACCACAGTGATCACAGTGACAGCTCCCTTGTTTGACAAAGTTTGGATGTCTCCATAAGAAAGGGCAGCAGGCATCACCTTCCCGGATCTGAGGTCTGTACTTGTGCCCGGCTGAGCAGGAGAAAAGGAATGGGAGGCAGATGGTAGAGTGGAGAGGAGGGGCTGGAACAGTCTGTTTCTCCCCCTCTCCCCATTAGCCCATCACAGACAGCCTGTTTCCCTTGATCACATGGGCACTTTGGAGATAACCTACCCCAGAGGGCTGACTGCCAAATAAGGGGCTTGAGTAGGGAGAAGCTGTAAGATGTTCCATGGTGGCCAGGTCTGAGGTTCTTCCCATGTGCTGGCAAAGATGGGTACTGCTGGCTCTAAGATGACATGATTTCTGTAGCTTTCAGGTCAGTATCTTCAGAAAGAGCACTCCTTTTCATCAAAGAAGATAGACAAATCGCCAGTCAGTACATGAAGAGCTGCTCAGTGTCAGTTCTTAGGGAGATGCAGACCCAAACCATGGCAAGATACTACTCACCCCACACTGGGATGGCTGTTACCAGAAACACAAGGGTCGGCAAGGATGTGGAGAAATCTGAACCCTTGTCTGTTGCTGGTGGGAATGTAAAATGGTGCAGCAGCTGTGGAAATCAGTTTGGTGGTTCCTAAAAAAGTTACACAGAATTTCCATATGACCTGGCAATTCTACTCATAGGTATATACCCAAAACACTGGAAAGAGGAATGCAAAAAGATACTTGTTCACTGTTGATTGCACTATTGACAATAGCCAAAAAGCAGAAACAACACAGATGTCCACCAATAGATGAATGGGTAAACCAATGTGGTATATACGTACACTGGATTATTAGCCATAAAGAGAGCTGAAGCTCTGACACATACTAGGACATGGATGAATGTGGAAAATTTGCTGAATGAAGGCAGAAACAGAAGGGCAGATATTAGATGATCCACCTTATTGAAATACCTAGAATAGGCAAATACACAGAGACCAAAGTCTGTTAGTGGGTACCAGGGATGGGTGGGAAAGGGAAAGGGGGAATTACTGCTTAAGGGCACTGAGTTTCTATTAAGGATGATAGAAGAACTTGGAAATGAATAGTGGGGATGGTGGTACAACGTGGTGGATGTAATTAATGTCACTGAATTTTCAAATGGTTGAAGGGACAAATGTTTTGTTATATGGAATTAACAAACAAAAAGGAAAAAGGGCACTGCTGCGTCCCCCCAAATAGTTTCACCAAAAGTCCTGGGGCTGGCTTTTACTCGCCAATTTGGTTCATGTGAACATTCTTGAACCAATCACTGTGGCTCAGGGAAAGATACAGTACTCTGATTGGCTAGCTTGAGGTCATGTGTCACTCGCGGTGGAACATCGAGTTGAGGGAGCATCTCCACCCAAACCACATAGATTGGGTTTCTCCTAAGAAAGATAGGTTTGTTCCAAGAGGAAAGGGGCAAACTTCAGGCTGACAAAATGAACAGAGGTCCATTCACCTGAGGAGATACAGCAGCAGTGAAGGCCCTGCCGCACGTCCCGTGGCCTCTCTCGGTGAGTGATGCTGGGCTACCCCGAGTGCTGACTGCTGTGCGTTGTTCCCCCTCCAGAAAAGCTGCCAGACAGCCAGCGTTGCCACAGCCGAGGCGTCTGCCCAGGCCCGGAAGCATGCCGATGCTGAGGTGCAGACCGAGCCCCCAGTGCCGGCTGCTGTGCCTCCTGCGTCCCTGCAGGACAGCCCCCGGCTTGCAGCCTTTCTTCGGAGGGTGGAGGGCATGGTCATCCGAGAGCTGAACAAGAATTGGCAGAGCCATGCGTTTGATGGCTTTGAGGTGAACTGGACGGAACAGCAGCAGACGGTAAGGAAAAATTATTAGATTATCATAGGCACGGGGAGCCCCCTAGCTGGCTCAGGGGCCAGGCCTTGCCCCTTTTTAAGTCTTCTTTTTGTTTCATCCAAAAAATAAAAACCAAAAAAACCAAATTCACTGCCGTGGAGTTGGATCCAACTCCTGGCGACACCTCCTTGGGTTTCTGAGGCGGTATCACTATGGATATAGATTGCCCAACCTTCCTTTTGAGGAGTGGCTGGTGGGTTTGAACCGCCAGGCTTCTGGTTAGCAGTCAAATGCATTAGGCACTACGCCACCAGAGCTCTCTCATCCGAATAATAGCAACACCAATAATAATAACGCTAGCATTCCGTGAGCTTGTACTTTTTACCAGGTTCTAAGTTAAGTTTTGTAAGTCATTGAACCTTCACTGTTGTCCTTTGAAGCAGGCCTGTCATTGTCTCCACTTAACAGTTGAGGAAGTGAAGACCCGGAGTTGAAGTAACTTTTCCAGAGTCAAACTGAGCTAGTGAGTGATGAAGGCAGGAGTTGAACCTGGGCAGTCTGACTCTCTCTTATCCTTTCAACTGCTCTGCTGGGCCTCCTGCTAGGTGCTGTGTAGCCTAGTAGTGGGCACGGTTCTAAAGGCTTCTCCCTTGTCTCACCTATTCCTCCAAACAACCATATAAGGTACTGCATTATGATTTCCATTTTAGAGATGAGAAAACAGGCTCGGAGAAGCTGAGGGACTGGTTTAAGGCCATACAACTATCATCCAGCTAAGCTAGGATTTGAACTCTGTTCTATCTGATTCCAGTGTGTGCTCTATGATTTCAAGGTATCCAAGGCACAGTTTAGGGTTGGACAGATGTGGTGTGGTGAATTATTTAATATGGCCCTTCTAGCCAGATTCTTTATAACTCCCACCATATGATTGGAGGGACTATGCAAATGAGGTATTTGCGGCCTACCCAGGGCATTGGATAGCTTGCTAATAATGTCAATACCGTGCATGGCATTGTTGCGGGGGTGGAACCATGCAAATAAGGTATGTGGAAGCCTAACGAGGGCATTGGTCAGTTTTGCCATCCTGCTAGGCTTAAAGTGAGCCATCCAAATACAGAAAGGGGGATCTTGCTACGACCAAGAAAGAAGAGCCTGCTCTAGCATTAATAGCAAAGTCTGAAAAAACAGAAAACAACAAATGCTGGTGAGGGTATGGAGAGACTGGAATCTCATATACTGCCGGTGGGACTGTAAAATGGTGTAACTGCTGTGGAAAACGGTATGGTGCATCCTTAAAAAGTTGGCAGTAGAAATACCATATGATCCAGCAATCCTACTAGTAGGTGTATATCCTAGAGAAGTAAGAGCCGTGACACAAACAGATAATGTGCAAATCAGAGTTAGTCACAGCATTGTTGACAATAGCCAAAAGATGGAAGCCCAAGTGGTCATCAACAGGTGAACAGATAAATAAACCGGGGTGTATATACACAATGGAATACTATGCGATATTAAAGAATAATAATGAGTCTTTGAAACACCTCCTAAATGGATGAATCTAGAGACAGTTATGCTGAGTGAAATTAGTCAATCATAAAAGGACAAATAATGTTTGAGAACACTACTGTAAAAAGTCAAGAAAAGGTTTACACACACAAAGCCTAGAGCAGCACATTGCTTTGGACTTGGCATCCCTACGCTGAGAACCTTCTAGATCCAGGAGACAGACAGAGCTCAGCGTCGGAGATGAGAGACGACAGGAAATAGCAGCAGAGAAATGGTGGCAGCAGGACCAGGAGGCTGGAGAAGGCACAGTGAGCTTTCTAGCCCACGGGGTAGGAAAGGCTGGGTACATTTGGGCAGGAGGCTTGCTGGGGGAGTGGGGTGCCTCTGGGCACTTACTGCCAGAGCTAAAAGTTTTTTTTCCCCAAAAAATTTCTATTCTTCTCAGAGCTAAAAGTTTTGTAACACTTGCCTGATCAGGGCAGAGGCCAGGCCCAGGGGACAAAGGCCAGAGAGAGGTCTGCTTGCAGGCACAGCTGAGAAGAGGCTGACCTGATTAATCAACTGTATCCTGAGTTGTTTCTGATCATGAAGTGTAACCTTTTACTTCCTTAATACACCCCATATTCGTGAGTATTGTCTATGAGTTCCGTGTGGCCATTGCAATGAATTGTTGAACCTCGCAGAGAAGTAGAAAGTGCTGTTGGGAAGGACAGCTGATGTCAGAATTGGTATAGAGGTTGGAGGATGGTGGCATGGCTGACCTCTGCCTCATAGGAATCAGCCTTGGGCTGTTGATGTTATTCTGGATTTTCCTTTCCCCTTGTGAAGTCAGAGGAGGTCAGATGCCTCCACCATGACATTTTTTTAAATTGTGTTTTGGGTGAAAGTCTACAGAACAAATTCATTTTCCATATAGCAGTTCATACACATTTTGTTTCATGACATTGACTGCAACTCCCCATAACATAACAGCTCTCTTCCCACTTCCTCCCCATAGTTACCTCTTCCCTGTATCCTTCTTTCCTGTCTGTTCCTGCCCCCTGAGCTATATCCCTGTGCAAACTTCCTGCCTTTCTATCCTCCCATGGTTGATCACTCTAAGGAGTGTATCTGCTTAATGTAAATGTTCACCCCATGTGCCTGTCTACTGTTTGACTAGAAGCCTGAGGAACAAGTTCAGTTCCAGACCTGAAGGGTAACTAGGGGCCATAGTCTCGGGGTCTCACCCAGCTCTATCAGAATAGCAGACGTAGTCTTTTTTATGATTTTGAGTTTTGTTCCACATTGTTCTCCCACTCTATCCAGGATCTCCTGCACTGATCCTTTTCTGAGTGGTTGATGGTAGCTGGGCACCATCTAGTTCTTCTGGCCTCATGGTCATATAGGCTGAGGTTCTACTGTGACATTTTTACAGCTGACATCCTAGGCCTCAAGATTAGAGAGCCTCCCTGGGACAGGCTGCTCCCTCCAACATTAGGTACCCCAGACTGGGGAGCTTTTTGAGATCTGGGATAGACTTTTAAAAAGCACTTGTGTTGAAAAAAAAAAAAAAACAAAAAAAAAACAAAAAAAAAAAAAAAAGCACTTGTGTTGTTAGTTGTTGTCAAGTTGGCTCTGGCTCATGGGCCTGGCTTAGGTGTGGCGGAATGAAACACTGCCTGGTCCCGTGCATTCTTCACATCATTAGTGTGTGTAGCCCATTTCTGTGGCTGTGTGTCAGTCTCTTTCCTGAGGGTGTGCCTCATTTTTGCTGATGCTCTTCTTTATCAACCATGACGTCCTTTTCTAGTGATTGAGCTTTCCTGACGCCATATCCAAAGTGTGTGAGTTGAATTCTCATCATCTTTGCTTCTAAGGAGCATTTTGTTTGATTTCTGTTGAGAGTGGTTTATTCGTTCTTCTGTGGTCTCTGCTTCTCCAGTACGACCATGGGAATGCATCAGGTGTTCAGTCTTCCTTTTTCAGTGTCCAGCTTTGCATGCATATGAGGTGGTTGAAACACCATGGCTTGGGTCGGTACATGTTAACCATCAAAGTGACATTTTTGCTTTTTAAAACTTCAAAGGTGTTTTGAGGCAGATTTGCCCAGTGAGGTGAGGTAACGATGTATTCGGAAGGTGTCACTCACTTTTCTTCTCCTTTCCTCCTGTTGTGGCTCCCTCCCATCTGTTTCCAGTGATACGTAGCCAGTTGTTCACAAAGACAAGGTGGATGTGGGAGAGTTGATTTACTTGAGAGAAATCATCAAAATCACTCTAAAACACAGTCACCAGTGCCACACCAAAGTGTGTAGTCATGGTGTTGTTTCAAGGAAGGCACAAGAAAAAGAACTTAATGATCATTAAAATCCCAACATGTTCTAGTATTTGTGTCATGTCATTGCTAACCCCCATTACACGGTTGCATTTGGTGATTTTAAGCTTTTTTTCTTATTTTAGGGTTAATATATTCTACATTCTGTGGATTCATTTGTTCTACTTGTGTATCATCTTTCCCTTTTCTATATCTTGTTTTTTTTCTGATTACAAAAGCAACACTTGTTCAAGTTTCACAGAAATCTATAATATGTAATGTATAGACAGTGAGGTTAGTGATTTGGTTTATAATCCAGGAAGCTGGAGTATATGAAGGACAGCATAGCATCAAGATTGGAGGCAGACTTACTGACAACCTGCAGTATGCAGATGACACAGCCTTGCTTGATGAAAGTGAGAAAGATTTGAAGCACTTACTGATGAGATCAAGGACTGCAGCCTTTAGCATGTATCACACCTCAGCATAAAACGAAAATTGTCACAACTGGATGAGTGAGCAACATCATGATAAATGGAGAAAAGATTGAAGTTGTCAAGGATTTTATTTTACTGGGATCCACAATCAGTGCCCGCGGAAGCAGCAGTCAAGAAATCCAGTTACATAATGCCTTGGGCGAATCTGCTGCAAAAGGCCTCTTTAAAGTGTTAAAAAGCATTGGCATGGAGGAAATGCAGGACACACAGGAGTGCAGAACTGTGAGGGGCCAGGGTGTGTGTGTGTGTGTGTGTGTGCTGGGGTGGGTGGGAGAGTGGGGGTGGGGATTACTGGGCAGGGAGGGGAGGAGACTTGATTGGGGATGGGGATGGTAAATAAGGAGTGAAACTAAATGTAAGAATGTAAGACAAACTTTGTAAACTTGCACCTAAAGCACAATAAAAAAAATAAATAGTTAAAAAGCAAAGACGTCACCTTGAGGACTAAGGTGTACTTGACTAAAGCCATAGTATTTTCAGTTGTCTCATATGCATGCAAAACTGGACAATGAAGAATTGATGCATTTGAGTTGTATTGGTGAAGAATATTGAATATACTACAGACTGCCAGAGAATGTACAGATCTATCTTGGAAGTACAGCCAGAATGTTCCTTAGAAGTGAAGATGCTGAGTTTGTCTCACATACTTTGGACATGTTATCAGGAGGGACCAGTCTGTGGAGAAGAATATGCTGGGTAAAGTTGAGGGTCAGTGAGAAAGGGGAAGCCTCCCAATGAGATGGATTGATGTAGTGGCTGCAGCGGTGGGCTGAAGCATAGTAACAACTGTGAGGCTGGTCCAGGACCAGGCAGCGTTTCATTCTGTTGTGTATAGAGTCACTGTGTGTTGGAACTGACTCAGTGTCACTGTGTGTTGGAACTGACTCAGTGGCACCTAACAACAAGAGTGTTTTCTGTGCTAGACTAATATGTAGTATTTCTCTGCTTGCTGTTGCCATTAAGAATGTTCTAAACAAAAATGCATGTACTGTGACCTTTCTCACTTGTCGTAGCTTTCCAATTCAGCGTTTTTAGTCTTTAGCAACCGCACCATGTCCTAGTGCACGTGATGGTGGACATCACAGACAGCAGCTTCCCTTGGAGAAGTTTGTCCTCCCGAAACATTCGAATGAGGTGTGAGGTTGGGCGGCCTCCCTTTGAGCAGCTGTGCCTGTCTCCATGGTCCCGACATTTCTTAGCCATCTCCTAATGTCAGACAGAAGGCTGCTTTGAACCTGCTGTAATTTAACAGAAGTGCAGAGTATCTCTTTCTTGTTTTGTTTTTCTCCACCGAGTTGAGTTTTCTTGTTTATTCCCCAGAGTGGAATTACCATGTGGACTGATGTTGGGATCCTGTGTCCCCTCCTGCTGCCATTGTGTTGGCCTTGACACCACTGCCCTTGGTGCTGCTATAGCGGCTTGAGAGAGGCTGAGGGATCACTTTGTGGTAGTTAAGGTTATTTTCCAACTTGGCTGGGCCTGGCTTTGAGTGGCTAGGCAGCTGGATGTAGTTAGTTATTCCTTCCCCACGATGAGACTGGTAATCAACTCCATGGTGGTATTTGCTGTGAGCAGCTGAGTAGCTGCCTTAGGGATGTGGTCTGCTTCCTGTATGTAAGGAGATGCTTTGAGAAAGGTCTAGAGCTTCTGTTTTTGGTCTGGAGCTTTTTGACATGCGTGGGTGCCGCATGTAGCCAAGCTTCATTCAGCAGCCTGCCATGCTACCTGCTGACTTGGGGCTGTTTCTGGACTTGAACGAGTGGCCTGTCTTGTAGCTTGAAAAGCTTGGAAGTGTGCCATTTTACTCGTCGAACTTGGGTTTGTCAGCCTCAGCAGCTAGCACTGCCTGAGTTGAGTGATGCCTCTGGGTCCTGTGGGCCAGGAGCAAGAGACAGAGCTGAAGCCCAAGGTCAAGGGGCCTTCACTCAGCCTCTAGAGCTGGCACTTTGAACTCAGACTTCTAGCCTCCTGAACTGTAAGAGAATAAATCTGTTTGTTAAAGCATCCACTTGTGGTATTTTCTGTTAGAGCAACACTAGAGGACTAAAACATGCTCCCAATTAAAACTATAATTTTCGAATTCTACACACAATGTAGAGATAAGGAAGAAATTACCCACGGCCCATTACCTGTCCTTCTGCTAGTCATTTCCTTCCTGATTTCCGCACGTGTGGGCCTCACAGATGTGGGGGTCACAGTGTACAGTCTTGTAGTCTCTTCAGAAACAAGAGCTTGCTAATACTGTCATAGTGTCACACAGCCTTCACACTCATCTTTGGAAATGCCACGTAACATTTCATGCCTATCCTTTTTTGTGTTGAGTAGATTTTTTTTTTTTTTTTGCAGTTCCTCCCCTCCCTTCCCACCCCTAGTAACCAACAAAGAACGTTTCCTTCCTATATAAACCTTTCCTTGACTTGTTACTATAATGAAGTAATAGGATACTTGTACTTCTGTGATTGATTTATTTCACTCAGCATAGTGTCCTCCAGGGAGCTCTGGTGGCATGGTGCCTGAGGCATTTGACTGCTAACTAGAAGGTTGGTGGTTCAAACCCACCAGCCACTCCTTGGAAGGTTGGGCAGTCTACTTCCGTAGAGATACTGTCTTGGAAACCCCAAGGAGGCGTTGCTATGAGTTGGGATTAATTTGATGGCAATGAGTTTTTTTTTTTGTTGTTGTTAATGTCCTTCAAGTTCATCCACGTTATGTGGTGTTTTGTACGTTCTACATTATTCTTCGGGAGCTCTGGTAGCGTAGTGGCTAAGGCACTTGACTGCTAACCAGAAGGCTGGCGGTTCAAACCCACCAGCCACTCCTCGGAAGGAAGATGGGGCAATCTACTTCCTTAGTGATACTGCCTCGGAAACCCAAGGAGGGGTCGCTGTGAGTCGGATCTGACTTGACGGCACATAACAACAACAACAACAACATCTTTAGGGTTGCATAGTATTCCATTGTGTGTATGTACCATAGTTTGGTTATCCATTTTTCTGTTGATGTGTACTTAGGCTGTTTCCATCTCTTTGCTATTGTAAACAGTGCTGCAGTGAACATGGGTGTGCATATATCTGTTCTTGTCCTGGCTCCACTTCTTTAGGATATATACCTAGTAATGAATTGCTGGATCAAATGGTATTTCTGATTCCAACTTTTTAAGGAATTGCCATACTGCTTTCCACAGTAGTTGTATCATTTGACAGTCCCACCAGCAGTGTATGAGAGTCTCAATCTCCACATCCTCGCCAGCATTTGTTATTTTCTGTCTTGTTGAGCTTTGCTATTAGTGTTGGGGCAAGATGGTATCTTTGTTGTTTTGATTTGCATCTCTCTAATAGCTAACGGTTATGAACATTTCTTCATGTGTTTGTTGGCCTCCTGAATATCCTCTTTGGTGAAGTGTCTGTTCATGTCTTCTGCCCATTTTTTAATTGGATAGTTTGTCTTTTTCTTGTTGAGATGTTGGAGTTTTCTATAAATTTTAGAGATAAGTCCCTTGTCAGATACTTGGGTAGATTTTTTGAGGTATATTTTATACACAGGAAAATTCACCCTTTGGACTGTACTGAGCCTTGGCAAACACGTGACCCAGCACAATTGGGATCTAGGACTGCTTCCCATCATCCCAGAATACCCTTGTGCCCCTTTGTTGTCTCATCCTTAGATTTTAAGTTGTATCTAATCGTAATAATGATCTTGGCATAAATAACAATGCATACAGTTTCCTTTTTTTTTTTTCCCCGGAGTAAACGTATTGTACTGTGTCATTAAAAAAAAGGACACACATCACAAATGTGCAGGTCCACAATTTCACAAAGTGAAAACCTTTGTAGAATCAGAACTCACAGATAAGAAAATAAATGTTACTAGACCTTAGAAGGCCTCCTTTGCCCCTCTACCTCCTACCCTACTTTATAGCTTGTTTTTAAATAATAAACTCAAACTCACTGCCATTGAGTCGATTCTGACTCATAGTGAACCCTCTTTGGGTTTCCGAGGCAGTAAATCTTTACGGAAGTAGATTGCCCAGTCTTCCTTTTGTGGAGTGGCTGGTGGGTTCGAACTGCCAACCTTTTGGCACTATGCCACCAGAGCTCCTTTTTTAAATAATAGCTTTATTGAAATAAAATTCACATACCATACCATTCACCCATTTAAAGTGTGCAATTCACTGGTTTTAAGTATATTCATAGAATCATGCACCCATCACAATAGTTAATTTTAGAACATGTTATAACCCCCAGAAGAAACCCTGTCCCCATTAGCAGTAATTCCCTGTTGCCCCCTATCCCTTGGCAACCACAAATCTACTGTCTGTGTGTCTTGATTTGCCTATTTTGGACATTTCTTATCAATAGAATCATACTGTCTGTGACACTTTTTGATGGTTGCTTTCATTCAGTGTAATGTTTTCAAGGTTCGTCCAGTAATAGCAGGTATCAGAGCTTCATGTCCTTTTTGTGGCTGAATAATACTCCATTGTGTGAACAGACCATGTTGTCTGTTGATGACATTAGGTTGCTTCCACCGTTTGGCTATTGTGAATAC